TTAGGTTTGCTGCCGCGGGAGAGAGAAGGAAAGATGGGCCCTTTGCAGCTGACTTGGGTGCATTGTCTGTCTGTCCTATTTCCTCGGCCCCTGGCTGCACCCCCTCCCTCCCTCCACAGGCGGATCTGAAGAACCAGCTGGGAGACGGGGGGTACGTGGTGTTCGGGGTGGTCCTCTTCGTGTGGGAGCTCTTGCCCACCTCCCTGGTCGTTTACTTCTTCCGCGTCCGAAACCCTGCCAAGGACCTGGTGAGTAGAGCAGCGGTTCTCAACCTGTGGGTCGCGACCCCTTTGGCGGTCGAACGACCCTTTCACAGGGGTCGCCTAAGACCACCCTGCATATCAGATATTTACATGACGATTCATAACAGTGGCAACATGACAGTGATGAAGTAGCAACGAAAATAATGTTATGGTTGGGGGTCACCACAACATGAGGAACTGTATTTAAAGGGCCAGAAGGTTGAGAACCACTGGAGTAGAGTAAACCGTTTGGTATTTGCAGGAAATAGCGCCCCATTCTAAGCACAGGCGGACCGCGAGCCTTTTTTCTCAGCTTGTCCATCGAAAGCCGCCTTCAGCCTGTTGTGATGTAGAACATCGCTGTAGTTCACGGAGCCTTTTGGACCCTTGATTCCCAAGGCCCCTGAAGGGAAGGCTCCCACGCGTGTTTAATGAGGCCAGCGTTGCCCTTATTCCAAAACCAGACAAAGAAACACCAGAAAGACCATCCCATAACAACTTTGTTTCAGACTCTGTTGGTTGACTTTTATGTTTTAATTTTTTTAAAAATATGTTTTTTACTGATTTTAGAAAGGAAGGGAGAGGGAGAGAGAGAGAGAGAGAAGCATCAGTGATGAGAGAGAATCATGGATCGGCTGCCTCCTGCACGCCCCACACTGGGGATCGAGCTTGCAACCCGGGCATGTGCCCTGACCGGGAATCGAACTGTGACCTCCTTATTGATTATACTAGTAGATTGACACTCAACCGCTGAGCCATGCTGGCCGGGCTAATGTCATTCTTTTGTGAATGCCCACATTATTATTATACAGGTTTATATCCAATTTGGGACCATCTCGCTTGGCTAATCTGGGCATTGGCTGGTTTCTCGTCTCGGGGTTCAGCCTGTGATACATCACGGTTGTAAGCAGAACTCTGAAAGACGTCCATGTGGTAAAAGGAAGAGAACCTCTTCAGAATAAAAGCAGGAGAAACGCTCTGCAGCAGAATGGGGGGGCCTCTGCCCGGAAGAGAAGAACCCCTCCTGTCTCCTGCAGGAGGCCTGCTTCCCCTTTCTTTGCCCGCGGGCCTCGTGTCCGAGGCATGCTGACCAGTCACTGTCTTTCCAGACCAGTCCGGGCTTGGTCCCCAGCCACGGGTTCAGCCCCAGGTCCTACTTCTTCGACAACCCTCGCAGATACGACAGCGACGACGACCTCGCCTGGAACGTCGCCCCTCAGGGACTTCACGGAAGGTGAGCCTCGCTCAGGCTGGGGAAAGAGTCTGTTGGACTGATTCTTAAAGGCTCGTTAGCTTTTTTAAAAAATATATTTTTATTGATTAAAGAGAGGAAGGGAGAGGGAGAGAGAGAGAAACATCAATGAGGAGAGAATCATGGATCAGCTGCCTCCTGCACGCCCCCCACTGGGGATCGAGCCCGCAACCCGGGCATGTGCCCTGACACGGAATCAAACCGTGACCTCCTGGTTCATAGATCGACGCTCAACCACTGAGCCACGCCGATTAAGGACTAAGCAGTTTGTAGGTAGGAACTCAAAAAAGCCCCATGAGGTAATCACAGATGATAAAACAGGCACAGACACGCAGGTAGCGAAGGATACTCACTCTGCGTTAGGATTCAGGTCTCTTGTTGCTAGGACATTGTGTTACCCACCGTGATGGGTTTGTGGCTCTAGAGTTGAGTAGACTGTGCGTGGACCTCTCGCCGCTGCCCGGAGCACTGGCTTGTGGAACAATGGGCTTCAAGAAGCCGCCTTAGCCCTAGCCGGTTTGGCTCAGTGGATAGAGCCTTGGCCTGCGGAATGGAAGGTCCCAGGTTCGATTCCGCTCAAGGGCACATGCCTGGGTTGCAGGCTCGATCCCCAGTAGGGGGCGTGCAGGAGGCAGCCGATCCATGATTCTCTTCCATCATTGATGTTTCTCTCTCTCTCTCTCCCTCTCCCTTCCTCTCTGAAATCAATAAAAATATATTTTTTAAAAAAAGAAGCCGCCTTAAGAATCCTCGGAATTGTCGGTAGTTTACACAGAGTCATCGATAGTAAGGTCAGTGTTTCACGTCGCTGAAATACCCCTTTTTCTCTTGAAGTTTCGCTCCCGACTACTATGACTGGGGACAGCAGACAAACAGCTTCCTGGCACCAGCGGGGACTTTACCTCCGGACCTGGTAGTGGACCCTGGCAAGCCACGCCGTGGGTAGCACCAGCTAACAGCTCTATGGACCATTCCTCGGTTGAGAAGCTTGAGAAAAACGGACGCCACGAAAGCCGAATCTTTAGGGCACTTTTCCTCACGAAATAGGACTTGATTTTTTACAGGTTTCTCCTGGCTCCCTAGGGCTAAGCAATAATGTAGATCAACACAACCTGATTTTTAGTACTAAGAAGGGAGCCCTGGCCGCCTGTTTCCAGGGGTATAATTTAAACTTTAAAAATTCTGTACTTTTATAAAAATGTATTTTATATAACTTAAATAATAATGCTAAACTATACTAGGGGGTTTGGAGAAGGTTACTGTAATACAGGTTCTAGTTTGCACAGACATTGATGCATAATTCACTTTAAAAAGTATAGACGCCCCAGCCGGTTTGGCTCAAGGGATAGACCGTCGGCCTGCGGACCAAAGGGTCCCGGGTTCGATTCCGCTCAAGGGCACGTACCTCGGTTGCAGGCTCCTCCCTGGCCCGGGGGCCTGGTCCAGGCTCGTGCAGGAGGCAACCAATCGATGTGTTTCTTTCACATCTATGTTTCTATCTTTCCCTCTCTCTTCCACTCTCTCTAAAAATCAATGGGGGGAAAAATAAGAAAAGTATACCGTGTATGGTCTGAGGGTTCTTTAAGGCTTTTAGATGAACGGGTTTCTCAGATCCCTACCTTTCCAGGTCCCTTGGATTCTGAGCTCCGCGCTGGGCGACCCTCCTGACAGCGCCCGGGGTGAAAGGTAGAAGGTAGCAGAGTATCAACTGACCACCTAGAGGTCACGGGCTCCTTAGAGGTCGTTAAGGCCCAGGGAGTGGATTCCAAGAATCTCAGTATTGCCCCGGGTTTGGAATTCCGTCTCAGGAGGGCACTGTCTGCACCCAAAGGATCATGGGAAGAAGGTGGACAGAGTTGACTCCTCTGCTGGGGTCGGAGATGTGGCCTTGTTTTTCAGCCCAATGACGTGTGATATCCACTTATCACCTCGGACGGCAGCGAGAAGGCACCTTTCCCAGCCCACTGACCGCCCATGACATTGAAGGAGCAAGGAGAGGGTCCCAGAGGGGGTCAGTGATAAACACCCCGGCCCTGGGGGCCACAAGACTGGAACCCCAACAGGGTTCCTTCCATTTCCAACCGTATTTAAAAGTGCCCTTTATTTTATGTTAAATATATTTGTATTGGTTTCAGAGAGGACGGGAGACGGAGAGAGAGAAACATCGATGATGAGAGAGAATCACCAATCAGCTGCCTCCTGCAACGCCCCCCAGTGGGGATGGAGCCCTCAACCCCGGGCATGTGCCCTGACCGGAAATCAAACCCGCAACCTCCTGGTTCATAGGTTGATGCTCAACCGCTGAGCCACGCCGGCCGGGCAGCGCCCTTTAAGTTGCTCTGAAAGGGCCTCTGGAAGGAGAAGCTGCCGGTAGGAGAAGCCCTCGACACTGCCTCTCATGACGCCTCTCGGTCACGCAAGGGACACGCTGCAGACAACTGCTTCTATGTCGTCTCTCGTGTAAGTGAAACACGGTGTGAAATACTGGTTCTCCAACCACAAGTGCCATTCCAGCACTCCAAGATAGATTTATATATGTAACATGTAATATATATGATAATTGTATATCCTGCAGCTGTAAAACAGCCCCCTTCCGGGAAATGGCCCCATTCATGCATTCACTGGGTGATTCCTGGGATCGAACCCGCAACCCTGGCGCACTGAGACGATGCTCCAAACGAGCTACTGGCCTGGGCAATGGGAGATGTGTTTTTTAAAAACACAGTGAGATTTAACCCCAAATAAGTAAACCACCCATGTCTGACCACCAAAAAACTAAATAAAAACACAATGATAAAAATATCACTAAGATCCTATAATGATTATACTCAGCCTATGATATATAAACACTTGGTTATTCTGTTATTACTGGCAGGAAAATGGAAATGCCCAACATTATTTGGTAAAAGCCATAATCTCTTTTGGTGATAAGGCTGCTGGTATTTATATGAACTATTATTTTTTTATTGGAAAGGATAAAAAGTGCCTAATTTTCTCGTCTCCCCCCTTTAAAAAGGTGACGCTGAAGCACAAGTATTATAAGCACAGCCAGGACGTTAAGAACTGTCAAGCTAGTTTTCTCCTGTAGAAAATGGTCATGTTTACCCCGTGATGTGTTGCAGATTGGGATGGAAAGGAAGATTAAGTTTTCTTAGTTTCCTCATTTACATGCTGCTAAGTCCAGCAACAGAGCGACTCGGATACTAAAGGCTCAGAGAAGGCGAGGAATGGCGATTACTGTTCTCAAGTACCCCAATGTCCTTTTTTTAAATTACATTTTTATGGATTCCAGAGAGGAAGGGAGAGGGAGAGAGAGACAGAAACATCAATGGTGAGAGAGAATCATGGATCGGCTGCCTCCTGCACGTCCCACACTGGGGATGGAGCCCAATACCTGGGCATGTGCCCTGACTGGGAATTGAACCGTGACCTCCTGGTTCATAGGTCAACACTCAACCACTGAGCCACGCTGGCCGGGCCACAGCCAGTTTCTGTGGATCCTGACGCTTCAGTGTTAGAGATCTTTAGAAAAACAAACAAACCAACCTGCCAATACAAAACTGGGCACTAAAGTGAGGGAAAGACAAACTTCAATAAACGATGCAGAATGACCGGGTAGTCAGCTGGGAGGAACTCGGTTGCATCCATAACTTATACCTTAGGCCAGAATATACTCGAAAGGAATAAAAATTTAGGTTAAACACACACACACACACACACACACACACACACACACACACTAAACCATAAACCATAAACGTTCTAGAAGAAAATACAGGGACATTACTGCTGTGGAATGAAGATTCCACTTGGAATCTTAGCGTGACTCCAAGTCCAGAAACCCCTATAAAACCACATGGCGAAGCCACCATAAGCAAAGTCCCGATAAATGACTCCTAGGAATTCCAGGACAGGCTAAAAATGGGCCAGAGGTAGAAACAAGAGGAAATGCAGGCGGCTCAAACGTCAAAAGCAGTCGACCTTACTTAAAATAAAACTACAAGCACACACCTGTAATTTTGCATCTGTCAAAACGGCGATCCTGATGACGCCTATGTTGTGAGGTTGTGGGTAAGCGGACATGGTCTGAATGACAGGTGCGAATGGGAGTGGGTGACTGACCCTGAGGAAGGGCAACGTTCTAAAACCTTCCACACGTACAAATGCATACGGTCTTTCGCCCCAGAATTCTACAACTGCATCATTACATGCGTGTGAAATGACACCTACGTGAGGTCTGGTAACAATCCACATGGTTACTAATAGGGGGTTGGTTAAGTGATTGCACGTTCCTATAATGGAATACCAAGCAGTCACTAAAAAAAAACAACAAAAAGACGAAGAGAAAGCTATCTAGTGATATCGGGGAGCTGCCAAGAAAAATTGAGAAAAGCAAACAGCACGTCTGGACCGCCACTCGGTGTAAAACCGTGTCTGTGCCCCGCGCCGTGTGGCTGGGACCCTGAGCAAGGCCAGAGGCCTCCGTGGGGGCGGGGAGGGGGGACACAGACACCACATTCCACTGTAGAGCGTTTCTGTTTTGGTTTTTGAACCATGTGAATGTATTACCTGTTCAAAAAATTAAATAAAATATGTCTATTTAAAAAGCCTGTGACTTGGTACAATTCAAAAGATGCTGCGAGTCCCCAGTTCTTAGAGGAATGGCACTGAACCCACGTGTAAGGTCACAGATGCTGCGCGTCCTGGGAGGAGGCTCCAGGCAGACTTCCTGGTCTCGAGTCCTCGTCCCTCCGCCTGGACTGCAGGCGAGTGTCTTAGCCTCCCTCCCCCTCGGTCCTTCCTTAGGACCCAGGTGACGGCCTGTGCAGATCCCTAAGGCAGGGCCCCGTCCAATCCAAAGGAACCACCCAACTGCTCAGGGTTTTCTCCCTTCTCCACAAATTATAATCAGACCCTCCTCTCAAAAGAGGAAGTGTTTAAAAGGGGGAAAACGCCCTGGCTGGTGTGGCTCAGTGGACAGAGTGCCAGCCTGTGACTGAAGGGTCCCGGGTTCGATTCCGGTCAAGTGCAGGTACCTCGGTTGCAGGCTCCTCCCCAGCCCGGTCCGTGGTCGGGGCTTGTGCAGGAGACAACCCATCGATGTGTTTCTCTCACATCGGTGTTTCTCTCTTTCTTCCCTCTCTTCCACTCTCCCTAAAAATCAATGGAAAAATATCCTCAGGTGAGGATTTACACTAAATAAATCCTATATAATAAAAGGCTAATATGCAAATGGACCCAACAGCAGAACGACCGAATGGCAGAAGCCAGGCTGATGGCTGGCGAGCACAGTGGTAGCGCTAAGGATGTCGACCGCCAGCTTAGGCCTGCTCCCTGCAGGCAACGGGCCTTAGCTGTCAGTCGGACATCCCCTGAGGGCTCCTGGACTGTGAAAGGGCGCAGGCTGGGCTGAGGGACACCTCCCCCCAAGTGCACGAATGTCGTGCACCGGGCCTCTAGTAAATAAATTATATATATAAAAGGCTAAGTGACCGACCGTATGTATGTATGTCCAACCGACCGACTGGCTGGAACATACGACGCGCACTGGCCATTTAAAAATAAACGCTGACTGGCGCATGTGCAATACATATGAAGCTCTTGCTGGCACCCATCGCACGTGTTTCGATCTGTCATTGTCGATCGTGAATTTGGTTGACACTTCTATTATAGAGAAAGGGCGAATAGTGATATTAAAATAGTTCTTCTAATTAATTTCCTTTCAATGTGCACGAATCCGTGCACCGGGGCCACTAGTAAATAAATAAAAGGGGAAACAAGAAGGAAAGATGGCAGAAACATCTGCTTTAATTTGCACGCCTACTACACAGTGGGTACAACAGCACAGGATTTGCAATTCTGTTCCTGCAGATATTCCCTAGAATAGAGCGCACTCGCATCTGCGTGTGTGCTGTGCTGTTTTACAAACGCTTTCCATGACCCCGGCACCCAGGCTACGGGGTGAAAAGCTATGGTTTCTGCGGGTACTTGTGCTCACAAACCGCCGAGAGGTTTACTGCGAGCCGGTCCGGTGTCCAGCAGGAGGCGGCGCTGAGGGTCAGGAGCTGGCCTCGCTCACGTGCACGGGCACGGAGGGCGGCTGGAAAACACGGTACAGTTTCAACACACGCAGAGACCATGGAGGGCCAGGCATTCTCACGTTAACACATCAAGAGGTGCTAGTCATCAGGTGTCAAACCTGAAAACCGCTACTTGTCTGTCTGATCCTCCTCGGAGGCTGGGAATCACCACAGGAGCAACAGGCAAACTTGACCCATTTCAATAGAGAGCGTTTCTAACTCACATCGATGCCACTAAGAAAACACAGGCTCGTGCCACTGGAGGAGGGGTCACTGCCTCGTCTGCATCTTCTGGCTTCATCAGCTGGACCATCATGTCCGTCGTTATAGTACCCAGTGCGAGGTTTCCAACCAGGTGACGAGATAAAGACACAACGCCAAGAGGTGCTACCAGCCAAGTGTTTACAAAGCAGTCAGTGTCCTATATCACTTCCCAGCAAAGGCACGTGACCTGGAAAAGCAGCTTATATCACATGACCACCAACCACCAGGCTCACAACACAGAGATTCTTAGAGCACATAAACCACATAAGAAACACAGACACAAAGATGCAGGCTGCCCCCACATCTGATTTATGGTAAAATAAGTGAAGCAAATGAATTTCAGCTTAAATAGACTTCATTTGTTTATTTTTCTCGGCAGTGAAAAAACATTGGTTTAAACTTTGAAAAGAGCTTTTACCCCAACCAGACCTGAATCGCCTAGAACTCACTCTAATGTACAATTGTTGTTGCCTAAGTTTGAAGCAAATCAAAGTACAGAGAAAAAGCAATACATGGAAATGACCAAGGATTCTGCAGGAAATCGAGTTTAAATAATAGGCTTTGTCTTCAGCTGAGGGAATAGGAAGTCACACCACCAAAACGATTTTTAAGCTTACAGGAAAAATAAACCAAGTGCAAACTTTCACATTTCCTTAAGCTCCGAATGAGCACTAAGAGTAATTCTCCGAGATACAATTTACCTGCGATGTTATCACTTTTAAACCTGTTTACCCCAAGGTCCCCTCGCCCCCACACGGCACTTGCACCCCTAAAATGAAGGAAAAGTGGAGGCGGCCCCGATCCAGCCGGCCTGTTCATTCGACTGAACAAAAACATCACCATCACCAACAAAGCCCAGCTCCACAGCGGTCAGGAGAGAATTAGCCAGTGAGCCCTGCCTCCCTCCATCCACACCCCTCCCTGCAAGGGTGACTAAGTCTTTTTAAAAGACGGGGAGCCAACTCATTGACTGTAAAACGTGCCACTAGCCCAGTGGCCACGGCTCCGACTCGGGCCCACAGCCACGGGCGTTAAGGGCCTCATGACTTCACACAAGACTGAAGAGGCCAAGGAAACCTACTTGTCCCCTCACTCCTTCCCACATTCTATGTCCTAACACCTTTTAAAAGGATCGGCATTTCCAATGTTAAGGGTATTGGGATCCCGGGTTTAGAAGTGACTGCTTAGGGCCAATGAGTCACCTGTTGGCACAGATCCCCAAAGGGCCGCTTACATGCCATGAACGAGAGAGGAGAGGGGAGAGGCAGCCCAGAGGCGTGAACTGACTGACCCACCTGCTTAAACCTCCCGCCGAGGAAACAGACTGCGGATTGCATAGATTGTGCTCCAAAGTAAAACCCCTAAAAATGCTTCCCTGTATGGAAAATAGTAAGTTTTGTGCTCATCGTGTTTTAAATTGGCATTATAAATCCATGAACTCCCACTCAAATTTTATCAAGATGGGAACTGCTAAATATTTATGCAATTTTTGTGTTTTGTTTTGTTTTGAGTAAATGAAAATTTCTAAAATTGGAGAAGAAACAAAGAAACACAAAATCAAAGAAACTGGTGTCCGGGTTCTGAGTACAGACCCCCGGGCCCGCCCTCACTCAGGACCTGGCCTGGCGGCGCGGGCGGCGGTACTTACCTTCACCGAAGCTGGGCCTTCAGACCAAGCAAACCTGCAAACCTACAAGAGCAACTACAAACTTAGACACAAACCAATGAAGTGGGCGTTGAAGTCCTGGGGACTCTTCAGGGACTTCTGAAACTAGACACGTACAAGGCCACCCATCACACGGGCACTCCCGCAGGCTAGAAGGGGACACAGAGCGAGGCCGGCCAGGCACTGCGGTCCCCGGCCAGCCCCACCCGAGACCAGCCCTAACGCTCCCTGCCTCGCCTTCCCATCACAGACAGTTCACAGTGTTACCAGGAAGGAAACAGTCGTTTAGGTCTGACAACTGGAAATGAAGCATAAAGAGTAAGAACAGAACCGATTCCAACCGAACAGCATAGCAGAACAGTCAACAGATGGCAACGAAATTAAACACGGAATTAGCATAACTTACATGTTTTAAAAGTATATACTTCCTTTATAAATACCTCTAATTGACAGTCTATTCAGAATCATAAATATTCAAGTGAACATTTGCATTTCTCCTTAAGAGCTCAGTTCTTGAAGTCCCGGAAGGTTCGTCTCCTTCTGCTGAATGTCCAAGAGGAAAAGTCCTCACAGTCACTTTATGTCTGACCAGACATAGAAAAGCCTTTATTACCTACTGTGTTGCAATAAGACTTTAAAATTCTGTAATTCTCTGATGCTTGTAGAAAGCCTATAGGAGGGAAAAGAAAGCCTTTTAGCACCGCTAATATGATGTGTACATAGTTCAAATGGTTGACATGGTATATGGGCCATTATTAAAGCAAAATCCAAAATAAAAGGATGTATTCAACACTGAACATTGAAGCTTCTATTTTAAAATAAGTACATTGTGATCCTTATTAAATATTAATAACACACAGAGCTACGGTCCTTCGGTCTTGGCTTAGAAGGGGCCAAGGAAGACAGTTACTTCTTATCAATAGATTCATGATGGGAACAGTGATATGACTAACTCATTACAATAAAGAACCTTAAGACATTTATATTTAGTCTATAAGTTCATTTTGCACATTTCTCTCCAAATACCCACTCTTTTCTTTCGTTTTTTTTTGCTTGTCTTCAAGACCTGAAACTGAGAGCCACCAGTCAGTCAGTCAGTCATGGTTCACTGGGACTGCTGTAGCACTGGAATCCGCTCTTTTCTTACTGCTCCCCAAACACACCAGTTTGCTTTATACTGTCAGCTCCACAGTCTTTCAGGGTAAAGATTCTGTGTATATTGTCTAGCACTGAAGCCATGTCCATGGTGCCTAATCAACAATGAATGAAGGCAGTGAGACTCTGGAATGGGAATCACAAAATAAACCTATAAGCTCAGTTATCCTTCTGTACAATTCAAGGTGGATGCAGCAATAAAATCGAATGTTTTCTTTCTGTAGATTTGCCAGAGCAGGGCCAGGCTCCAGGCCACTAGCAGCCCTGGCTCTGAGTCTGGCGCCCTCTAGAGGACAACAGAGGTAATAGCAGGCAATCAGGTGGAACCACAGTGGGACCATGGCCGTTTAATGTTCTTTCTCAGTTACTTTATTTGGATTGAAAATGCTTAAATTATTTAAAATATTTTTCATTTAACTTTGAATAATTTAAATTTAACTCAGTTTTTCCTGTTTTGTCTTACTACAGGCCCCATAAGTGGGTGGACTGAATTTTTCATGAAATGCCAATTACCGATGGACATTCTATGACTACCTTGTTTGAAACCTCTGCTTACACATCATCTTTAAACACAGGGAGGCAACATGGTGAAAACTTTGCCACTAAGACAGGGAAGGGGCAAATAACTTATTTTTAATTTAACTGCCTCTTTTTAACTTAAAAATGCATGTTAAGAAAACATAAGAAATAATCCCCGTATCACTTGGTTCCCTTTTTTTTTTTTAATTCTTGACTTTTTTGCATTTTTTTCCCAGGGCAGCTTAGTATTATTTTCTCTGACTCAGTTCTCCCTGCTCTGTATTCCTCAGGAGGCTGGTGTTGCACGTAATTCTGTAGGCAAATTCAAATTAATTTGGAAACCATCTGTGATACCAACAAAAAGCAAAATATCTATCTGTATGCAGAAGTAGCGGGCTAAGAACGAGCAAGAGAGAAATGCCTCCTCGGTTTAAGAAACAGGACCAGCCCTGGCCGGTGTGGCTCAGTTGTCGTCCCATATACTAGGATGGGGGTTCAATCCCTGGTTGGGGTGTGTACGGAAGACAACCAATTGATGTTTCTCTCTCCCTCCCCCCTTCCCTTCTCTCTAAAAATCAATAAGCATATCCTCAGGTGAGGATTAAAAACAAAAGAAAGAAGAGCAATGGAAGGGTTCATCTGTCTTTCCTCACCTCTCAACCAAGCTCTCGGTCCCCATTCTTGTCCTTGAACAAGTGACGCTCAGCTAACGAGGGTGCTTCTAGGGGAGAGCGTCCTCCCCCACACCTGAGAAGGCAAACTGGGGACCCCTGGCAAACAGATGCTGAGAGCTGGGGAGAGCTGGCTGGTACAGGTATGATTGTAAAGTTTTCTCTCTGTCCGTGCAACAAAGCAAAACCAACCAGCTGAGCAGAGACGAGCGCTGTGGCTGCGGCATCAGAGCGCCAGTCGGTCCTTACCTCCCAAAAGCATTGAGAAGAGCAACTATTTCCTGCCGAGTGAGCTGGAAGCCTTTCGATGGGCTGTTCTCCGGAAGCTTCTGGATTTCTTTCTCAGAGAACAGTATCTTCAGGGCAGTTCCTAAACCCTGAGTCTAAAGAAAAGAGAGAAACAGACCATCAGTTCATATCCTAACCACTGTGAGGTTAAAGGAAAACTCAGTTGCTGGTGTGAGTCAGGAAATGCACATGAACTTCATTCACTTCCCCATCTTATCAAACTTAACGCAAAGCAGTTTCCACTTCCTGGCAGATGTGCACATGTCAGTTTATGTGCTGAACAACTTCACACATACCATTCGATTCCAAATTACTAAAATGCCTTTTTTTAACCTAAAAGTATCACAGTAGGATTACGATGTTCAGTAAGTAATCTTGAAAGCCTTCTTTACAGGCTCTAGCAACTCTAAACTTAAGTTATCAGCGAGACCTATACTTAGTAATTTCTTAATTATAAACACTAGAGAAAAAGAAGAAAGATGGTGATTTCTGGGTAGCGGCCATTAGAATAATTCTGTCTACTGATTTTCTGACTTGTCATCTTTGTAAAAAAAAAACCCCACACAAAATATCAATCCTTTTTAGGCAGAATGTGGAGGGAAATGAGCAGAACTTTCCTATTTTGTGACGAGATGACCTTCTTTTCATCATTGAAACAGATTCAGTGACCAAAACTTCATGATTAAGTCTTTTTGTATAATTGTATTTACCTTTGATATGGGTATATGAAATACTAATGTTCTCTATTTATAACCCCCAACTTCAGAAATGAATCTGAGATTCTACCAATAGAAACAGACGCACTAAAACCAAACCACTAACAGAGAGTAATAGGAAAGACATCCTTACACATACACATAAAAGCCACAGCGTTTAATACTAACTTTTTCATCTCTAACACAGGAAAACCACACTTCGGGTGTCTAATCCAATGAAGGAGGGCATTTTAATAAAAAGTTTCAACTCCTCGTGGGAAAGTGTAAGGTTAGCAATAGTTGCAAACAGAAGGCAACACACAAACCTGCAGCTTCCCCCACAGCCTGCACTTGTCACATCCAACGCAGTCCATTATGCGAGAGATGTTCTTGAAATGCAGCCGGAACTCCTCCTAACGGGCAGAAAACATTTGTGTTCTAATCAGACATTTAACAGGAAACTGTGTTAGTCTCAATTATAAGAAATAAAAGTTTTGAAGTTTAGGTTTGGCTCAGTGGATAGAGCGTCGGCCTGCAGACTGAAAGGTCCCAGGTTCGATTCCGGTCAAGGGCATGTACCTGGGTTGCGGGCACATCCCCAGTAGGAGATGTGCAGGAGGCAGCTGGTCGATGTTTCTCTCTCATCGATGTTTCTAACTATCTCTCTCTCCCTTCCTCTCTGTGAAAAATTAACAGGAAACTGTGTTAGTCTCAATTATAAGAAATAAAAGTTTTGAAGTTTATTAGTGAAGTAGAGGCCCGATGCACAAAATTCGTGCATGGGTAGGATCCCGAGGCCTGGCCTGCAATCAGGGCCAATCTGTGAGGCAACCAGCGGGGTGATGGGGCAGAGGGAAGGGCACCTCCCCCTCCCCTTGGCTGGCCTGGGTCCTGCGGGCAGCTCCTGCATTGAGCGTCTGCCCCCTGGTGGTCAGTGTGCGTCATAGTGACCGATTGTTTCACCAGTCGTTCTGCTGTTTGATTTGTATATTAGGCTTTTATTATATAGGATGAGTTGTTTTTCAACAATGAAGAAGAAAATTATTTGAAACTGTATAGCAGAAAAAAAAACAAATTTCCAAAACTAAAACAGAGTTGTGGCTAAATCATTTCATTTCAGAAACACCAAGAAACTCTTACAATGGAGAGCCACTCAATGCTAATTTATTAGTTCGTGTATAGCCACATCTGAAATAGCTTGGGGCCAAAGGTGTTTCACAATTTTCAGACTTTAGAAACACAGTGCATCCACTATTTATGACGAAACACTCCACCAGAGTGTGGGGGCAACACCCTGTAATCAAACCCATTCATGTGTCTGTAACAACAGTTACACAAACAGGCAAGAATATTTACACAAAGCAGAATTGAAAAAAAAAAAGACTATAAATAGTCTTACATCAGGTCAGGTTTTGCTAACTAATTTGCACCAAACACAAGAAGCGTGTTTCAGTTTTGGAGCTTTCTGAACTTGGACACTGCACAGGCTACTATTTGCCAGCCAATCAAACACCTTTATACTGTGAAGGGCACCGTGTGTTCCTTAATGTACATCCTGTAAGCAAAGGGAAGCGAAGACCTCCCGCCACACGTGAGGGTTTCATAACGTCCCTAAAATACAGTCTCCTGCTGGCCTCACAAGTTAACAGGCACTTTCTGCCTCCTATGCTGCTCTCTAAGGCAAAACACGAGTTTCATAAACTGTGACAGTCCATAAAATAAACTTTAGAAACAGAAACTATTTCTTGCCTTCAACGTGGATTACAGCTCATGCTTTTTTCAAAGATGCATCAAAACAACACACACACTGTGATTGTAAAGTAAGAAAACCCTCAGAACACTGCCCTTCAAAGACATTACAAGGTGCCGTCCTCGGTCACGGTCACAGTCACGGTGATGGCTGGGACCCGCCCAGCAGGGTCTGCGAGAAAGGACTGGGGAGGAAGTGTGGGCAGGGGGACTGCATCCCTCACAGCAAATCGCCTCACCAGCGAGGAGGGGACCAGGACTAAAGCTCAACCAGCGAACCGCTCCCGCCCGGCCCCCCAGTCAGCAACCTTTACCTTTAGCGACTTGGCCCCCTTCTTGTCACCGGAGAACATGGATTTCTCGTCAAAGTGCATGGGAAAGGACCTGGGGAAATACAGGAGTGTAAATGGCAGGCGAAATAGTCCAGTGCTGGGTCCTAGAGCCCTGGGAGGACTTTGATGGGTACTTACAATCAATCATAATTTACTCACATGTAAGGCTTAGGAAAGTTCACACAGACACTATTCAATAAGACTAAAGCAAGCTTTATAATGTATAAAGACAGCTTTAGAATGTGTAAGTTTGTAATGTTTAAAGAAATTATATGATAAAAATAATCTAAAAAATGAATTAAAACAATTTGTGTGAACAATATATATCACTCTCTTAATATTTTACAGCATCTTTTAAAAGTTAATCATAATTTATGTTCAGCACTTCTTAATCCAACACTGCTCCACGCTCATCTTCACTGGTAAACTCAAGTTTTAGATCCAGCATTTTTTTTTAAAGGTTAAATTCTTAGAAGGTAAGGCTAATAATGTTCCCTTAAGTATCGATTGATATCTAACATACATAGGTATCTAACATGATATCACGTGAACTTCAATAGCAACTGGAATACAAAATGGGTAGAAAGAACATTAAAGTAGCATTAAATGTTGCTACATAAAATTTAAAGTTATATTTAAAAAGATAGCCTATTCTCAAGTATGAAAGTGCAATGACGCATTATTAGACGATTTTCAGATAACATTTTTAGAAAAAACGTCCAAGACTGCTGCTGTCCTGGCCATCCTCGTCTATCTTCCGACTCTCCCCTTTTTTAAAATATATTTTTATTGATCTCAGAGCGGAAGGGAGAGGGAACGAGAGATAGATACATCAATGATGAGAGAGAATCATTGATCGGCTGCCTCCTGCACGCCCCCTTGGAATCGAACCTGGGACCCTTCAGTCTGCAGGCCAAGGCTCTATCCACTGAGCCACACCAGCCAGGGCATTGACTCTCCCTTTTGCTAAAGAACCTCCCGAGGCCCGTGGGCACCTTCAGGCGCCGCCTCGTTAGACCCAGGGCGGGCCTCCCAGCCCTGACGTGAGTCTCACTTTGTGTCTTGGAAGATGTTCAGGAGGAGGGTCTTGGTGTCGGCGTCGTCGTCCACGTTGCCAGTGTACAGATCGACCACCGAGCGCTCGAAGTACGGGGCCACCTTGGACAAGGCCCGCAGCTCAATGAGGTACAAGAAGTACAGGTTCTTCAGCCGCCTCGGGCCTTCTCCCTTGGTTTCCACGGGGTCAAAGCGGCGTTTGAATTCTTTGATGTTAGGTCCCCAGCTGGGCTTACCCCAGGTTTCTAAAGAGAAAGAGCAAAACATGATACACTTAATAGACAGATTTTTTAAAATAAATTTTTATTGATTTCAGAGAGGAAGGGAGAGGGAGAGAGAGAGAAATATATATGATGAGAGAGAACCATGGATCGGCTGCCTCCTGCACGCCCCCTACTGGGGATCGAGCCCGCAACCCGGGCATGTGCCCTTGACTAGAATTAAACCCGGAACCCTTCAGTCCGCAGACTGACGCTCTATCCACTGAGCAAACCAGCTAGGGCTAATAGAGTTTTTAAAAATAGAGAATGTGTATTTTCCCTCAACAGTTTTCACACGGAAAGAAGGCAAATTTCTACATAAAAATCTGATTACCTTCCAAAAGATAATTCGCGCACAGATGTAAATTGATGCTGGCATGAAGTCCCGATATGAGCTTATAGAAGACTCTTTTCTCCAGACATAAACCTGTTCAGGAAAACAGTGAAAAAGACATCACATCCATTTAGGTAACAGAAATACGGAGGACTCCGTACATAGGCTTATTTTTAAAGTTAAGATTCAAGAACATGAAGAATAAATCAAAAAAATGATATGAAATAATGAGGTCAAGATTCTCTCAAGAGAAAATAAGGTTCCGACTTCCGAACAGAGTGAACTGGATGATTCCTGGAGGCAGAACAAGCAGAAAATGCTGGGCTGCGGAGCCCGAACACTGAGGATGCCCCTGGCAGCCCCGTTACCCAGAAGGCAACAGCGCAGCTGCTTCACGGTTAGACCAAGTCCTGCTTTGGCTTCAGGGCAGCCTGCTCCCCCCCCCCCCCCCTGGAGAGGTTCTTTCACCCACGTAGTGATGAGGAGGAAGAGACTGGCTTGGTTTCTCTCCTCCCTCCAGGCCTTTCGCCCTCCAGGGCAGGATCTACACTGCTTTATCCTTTAACTAGACAAGTTCAAATTATATTAACATGTGAACTCAGTTTAAAAACCTTCTGAGTCCCTCTGCCTTGCATTCTCTAGTTCTACTTCACCATCTGTCCCACTAGAATGTGTCAGCTTTCCACTAATATTCTATATTTCTAGTATTTTCAATATTAGAAAATATAAGAATGCAAAAGCATCTAGTATATTGAAATCTATACTGCTTTTGTTTTTGTTTTTTTGTTAATGTTCACCTGAGGATATTTTTCCATTGATTTTTAGGGAGAGTGGAGGAAGAGACAGAAAAATCGATGTGAGAGGAACACATCGATTGGGTGCAGGACCAGGGCCCAGGCTGGGGAGGAGCCTGCAACCAAGGTACATGCCCTTGACTGGGATCGAACCCAGGACCCTTTGGTCCGTAGGCCAACACTCTACCCACTGAGCCACACTGGCTAGGGCAGGATCTATACTGCTTTATCCTTTAACTAGACAAGTTCAGATTATATTAACATGTGCACTCAGGTTTAAAACCTTCTGAATTCAAATGGACCTTCCCTCTGTTTCATGGAGAAAAAGCACTTCCTTCCATAGGAAGGTCTGCGTGGACTCAGGCCTCAGGACGGTCACGGGACCGAGTCGGGATGAGCATCCACGCAGAGCGGCCGGACTGGGACCAGTGACAGCGCCGGTGCATTTCCATGATGCTGGGTTGGGCCTCAACATTTTCAAGTAATTGCCTCCCAGAACACAATAACCTAAAACATGTGCTTTTCTTTTCAACACTCAAAATTAGTTGTCTAGGCAATGAATCCCAAAACTTAGAAAAATATACTCAGTAAATCACTACATTTCTTACAAGAACCCAATGCATTTAAAACGCAGACGTATTTACCTTCTAGCCACGTGTAGAATGATTCTCCTTTAAAAAAGAACACACACACACAGAACTGGGTTAACATATTTTAAATCATCATTTATATATTCGAATAAATTAAGTCTATAAAATATTTTATGGCAGATAAGGACTATTTCTAGAAATGGCCACTACTTCATGTGAAATAGAAAAATAGAGACATGGGCCTAGAAAATAAAGCCCAAAGGTAATTTAAGTATTGGGAGAATGTTCTTATAAATGATATTTTGACTAGTAAAAGTTTTGAGAAAACATTCCAGTCAAAATGTTATATAAATCTTATTCACTAGAAAACTTAAACATTCATAAGTATGGGGAGAGAGTTTAACAATTTTAAATTTGCTTTTGATAACTATAGCACTCTTTTCAAAGTCCAGAAAAAAGAGTGAGTTATAATTAACACAAAAATCTCATTATTATTCTATTTTTCCTGATTCAGTAAAGCTAGGTATATTTCCTCAATTACTTAAGACTATTACACTTCAAGGGATAGTTTTTAATTCCCTTCATTTTCAAGACATTCTTCAGAAAAGCGAATGACTAAAACACAGAGAGCTGTGACCTATCTGAGCACTAACGCTAAAGGACTATTTCTAGACCAACACTGTTGTTTACTGAAGAACAACATGGCAGTGAATAAAATGGAAACAGTTAATGCTCTTCCGGAGTTACCAATCCTGATTTTACTTTACGTAAGAAAAGCAAACCTCAACACACACGAGCTGAGCAGGAATCCAGGGGATAAATTACCAGTAGATGGTGGGAAATTACCGGGCCTCCTGAGGGTCTACTCTCTTTGCAAATCTCCATCTTCCTACAGTCACTCATTCAACATCCTCTTACTAAGAATCATTCATTATCTCCCCTTTTTTATTAAAAAACCCCAAGTGCTAATAGGAAAGTCTAGCCCCAGGTCCTCAGTAATCTGGCTTCTATCTCCCTAATTTCCCCCCAGAAAGGGTGTTAGGAAGACCCTAACTTTCCTAGCGCTCACAGGGGAAATTATCTTTCTACCTTTTTTTTTTTAACATAGGATAACTTTATATTATTAAAAATACTCATTTTTGTCACCAACCATTAGTAGCTATTTTCTGGAAAAAAAAAAAAAGGAAGATAAACACTTTCTTTTGAACTAGAGGAAAAACAATGTTTTTGATCATTAAAAACATGTCCTCTCCTTGAAACAAAACCACGAGAGTTTAACTCACCATCATCTTCTCCTGAAAGAGAAAATAATAGACAAAGTTTTAGAAAATGTCTTACAAAGTTCCGATTCTAATCCTATTAATCTTAATATGGGATGGAACGTCACCGTGTTAAACTATCCATTATACATGAACCTGGTCAGTGTGCAGTTATCCTGCAAATGAAACTTCTTAATAAGAATACAGGCCAAAAAGCACAAGATTTTCACGTTTCATACAATAGATAATATCAGAAAGCAACTAAAAATCATCAGAAAGATAATGAGCTAACAACTAGACAAAGTCACTGCTTCAGTCACCACGTCCAGGACAGTCCCTGCACACTGTGGTTTCCATAAAGGAATGCTTCCGTCTTAAATGGCTGCTCCCGCCCGGCCAGTGTGGCTCAGTGGTTGGGCGTCGACCCCATGTGCCAAGAGGTCACAGGTTTGATTCCTGGTCGGGGCACATGCCCAGGTTGCGGGCTTGGTCCCCGGTGGTGGGTGTACAGGAGGCGGCTATCGATGTTTCTCTCACATCGATGCTTCTCTCTCTCCCTCTCCCTTCCTCTCTGAAGTCAATACAAATCTATATTTAAAAAAAAAAAAAAGAGCAACTTCATTCTTCATGGAGCTGCCTTCTCCCTCGCCCAGCCTTGTCTCCCTCTTTCCTATTCCTGCTACTCTCCTCCCTCTGTCTTCTCTGTAGAGCAGGCTCCTTCCCTCCTCCTCACTCCAGCAGTTCCACGACTCTATTTGGCTCCCCAGGAAACTGCCGATAGATGATGACTCACATGTTCTAACGCATTCTCCATGAAGCCCCTGGCTTAGGGCCTGGCCCATAGCAGGTGCTCAATAAAAACATGTCGAAACCTTGAGCCTTAACTCCGAGCATTTCATACACTTCTGATCATTCAAATTAAGCAAAACATACAACAGTTGAAAATGTTCTCAAGTTAAGTTTAGTTATAAAGACATTTTATAAACAATCTCTAAAAGCATGAAAATGTACTTTAAAAACCCACCTCGGCTGGGTGCCAGCGGGTTTAAAGGACGATAAACAGATCGAGGCCTGAAAAACACACACAAAGCTCAGACGTGAGACGGTTTGCGTTTGTCATGTAGTTTTTCCCAAGAGAAACCCTGTCCGTCCTCCCTGCCCTCCGTCCCCCTCCATCCCCCCTCCATCCCCCCTCCCCGCGGTTACTTGAAGCAGTTCTCTTCATAGATGCTGTTCCACACCCTCCAGGCGGACGGCCCTTTGTAGCCCGTGTAGCGCTCGGGGTTCAGCAGCAGGTCCACGTACTGGGCAGCTGGGGACCTTTCGTCTGAACGAGAGACAACGCATGAGCCACCCCTGGTTCACTATCTCGGACTCAGCATCACAGCAAACAGGGCTCCCGGCGCGTCGAGGACGGCCACCCGCTTCAAGTACCTCCGGCCTCACCGGGAGGGGAGAGCACTTGTGACTGCACTTGACCCGGGACCTGTGGAACTTGGACTTGAGAGGAGCCCGCCTCCCTCTCCTCTGGGCAGCCAGCAGGGCCCTCGCCTCCTCAGAGGCGCTCGGGGTGCTCTCAGTGTCACCGCCCGGGCGGAAAGACCTAGCAGAATCATCACTAGTTTTAAGATTTTCTTTTATTTCTTCCCTAAGTCTATACCTGTCTAGACACATGCTTAGCAACATCTATTTTGTTAGCATATGTTGTATTAAAAATAGAGATCCTGCTACTCTCTACTTCTGACTTATGAAGTAAATGGCTCAGTAACTTTGTGATTTAAATTTCATCATTCCTAGACTTACACAATGGTCTCATTTTTTTAAAAATCACTAATTTGCCCTGGTCAGTGGCTCAGTGGTTAGAGCGTTAGCCCACGTGCACCAGCGGTTTGATTCCTGGTCAAGGGAACGTACCTGGGTTGCAGGTTTGTCCCTGGCCCCATCGGGCGTGTATGCGGGAGGCAACCAATCCATGTGTCTCTCTCACATTGATCTTTCTCTCTCTCCTCCCCTCCCTCTCTCTCTCTCTCCCTCCCTCCCTTCCATCCTCAGGATTGAGCCTACAGCCCTCCATCACCAACTCTATCCCTGCTGAAACGTAACTTACTCAGGAGAGCCGACAGTATATGAAGCGCCCATGTAGCTTCAAAGCACAGCCTGACTTAAAACCTACTGTGCTAAACAATGTTGTTAATTTATTAATGAACATGTTTTGAGGGAAAATATAAAAGTAAAAACATCTATCCCGTTATGCAGGTTATTTATGAGCCAACTGCTTCATCCGGCGAACACTCATCGCACACGGCCCATGTCCAGCTGCTGCCCTGGGCACTGGGGCTACGGGATCGAACAGAGAGGCTGGGCCTGCCCTCGGGGGTGCAGTCTGGTGGGGCGGACAGATCTCAGCAGGTGAATTCGGCCACCTGCCGGGCGCTCCTGCCAGCTCCTGGGGGAGCAGGCGCACTGAGACAGCGGCAGTGGCTGCTGCCTTACAGGGGGTGGCACAGGCTTTGGCGAGGTGACAGTTGAGCAGAAACCTTAAGTAAAGGGAGAAGCAAGCCATGCATACAGACAATTACAAAACAATAAAACAGAGAGGGAGGGACAGCAGCTGGCCGTAAACCGCTGAATTATTGAAAAAGCTACTATTCGATCTGTAGGGATCACCTTCCTGTCACGTAACGACAGGACACGAAGGCAGAGAGGGCTGTGGGTGTGTTCCGGGAACCCGGGTGGATCTTTAGAATTTCTGTTTTAACCCAGTGATTTAGATAAGTGACACCACTCCAAGAGTAAAGATAAAGGCCTAATGAAGGACTTAGGCCTACTTCCCACAATTCTTGGGAACAGTCTCCTATAGATAAAAGTTCAGAGTCACCTCAATTGCCTTCTGTAAAAGGAGTGGCAGTGACTGAACACAGGCTTTGGGTTCAGTCAGATCCGGGGGGAAGCCCCGTCCCAGCCTCTTGCTCCCGTGTGACCTTGGGCAAGTCACTCGGTCTCTCCGAGACGGTCTCCCCAGACAGGAAGTGACCACACGTCCTAAGATAAGACAGCTGTGAAGGCCAGGGTCATACACAGAGGGCAGGGGGTTGGGACACAGGCTCACAACAGCAGCCATTATGGATAAAAGGTCCACAGAGCAACATGCAGCATCAGAGACCTACAACTGCTGACATTCTGATTGATTTCAATGTCTTGGAAAAAGGTTCAAGAATAATTTAAATACAGGAGTTGATTTTATTACCGTCAAGTTCACAAAAGTGATCCTGTGAGTCATCGTATCTCGCCCAGTCAATGAAAGCCTCTTTGCTCTGATTGCTACGGGAAGGAGGGATAAAAAAGAAAAGGATTAAACTTGGGAGTTGAAAATGACAACACTGTTTTCTAGTGTAATTAAAAACAGATAACCTGAGGCCACTGCTTTATTAGTTAGATGGTGTCACAAATTCAGTTAGTGGTCACATGCAGGATGATGGAAGTTACATGAAAAACAGATATCAATATGAACTTCCACAGATATTAACTGCTAGTGTGCATCAAAAAAACATGCCCACGAAAGCTCATGGTAGCAGTTTATCTAAGTAAAAAATGTGAAAAAAGCCCTAACTGGTTTGGCTCAGTGGATAGAGCGTCGGCCTGCGGACTCAAGGGTCCCAGGTTCAATTCCGGTCAAGGGCATGTACCTTGGTTGTGGGCACATCCCCAGTAGGGGGTGTGCAGGAGGCAGCTGATGGATGTTTCTCTCTCATCGATGTTTCTAACTCTCTATTCCTCTCCCTTCCTCTCTGTAAAAAAATCAATAAAATATATATATATTTTTTTAAAATGTGAAACAATCTAAATGCCCATCAGGAGGGGGATAAGTAGGTAAAATGAGGTATATTTATATCATGAAAACTATTCATTAGTCAAAAAAATGAGATAAGTCTCCATGTTTAACATGGACAGATCTAGAAAGCAAAATGTGTGGTGTGAAAAGAAAACTTGCAGAATGTGAAATATAATATTGTGTCATTTACAAAAAGGAAAAATAAAATCGTCTGCACAGAACCATACATATATGTGATAAAAACATGGCCTGGGTAGACACCAAATCCATGATGTAGTTACTGCTAAGAAAGAAGGAAAGAAAGCAGGATTGTGGGCTAGCAATGGGGGATTTTAATATCTTGGCTATTTCTCTTTTCTTAAAAATAGTAAATACTATAAATGAAATTGCTAACTTTATTGTAAACAACAATTATAATATATATATATGTGTGTATATATATATATATATATATATATAACTCTAAACAAACAGGAAAATTAAAAAGAATTTCTGTAACATTCCATTCCCCACTCATTACATATGTTCAGTCACTTTACATTGCATAACCTGAGACTACGTACAAATTATTTATGTTGGCCCTCAAAAGCAGGTTTATACTTAGAGCAAATAAGGTAAACACAACAGAAAAAACATCTATGACATTTAATGGTTAATAGTAACCTTTATCATTCAAAATGTGATAGATAAATGGAAGTGCTATTTACAGAAGACTGAGAGGTTCCAGTTCCTTTTCCCATAATAATCAGGAAGAACAGACTCAGCACGCCACTAGCAAGCTTAGATTTTTACTTTGTAAGAGAGGCACTATTGATGATTTAGAGATTTCAGGGCAAATCAGCCAAGAAGAGGAAGCAAAGCCTGTAATGGAATTTAGGATAAAGAATACTTTCTTCCTTTAAAAGTTAGTTGAGCCCTGGCCAGTTTGGCTCAGTGGATAGAGCGTTGGCCCGAGGACTGAAGGGTCCCGGGTTCAATTCCAGTCAAGGGAACCAACCTCGACTGCAGGTTCCCTGGCCTGGTTGGGGTGTGTGCAGGAGGCAACCAATCAGATGTGTCTCTCTCACGTCGATGTTTCTCTCTGTCTCTCCCTCTCCCTTCCACTCTCTCTAAAAATCAATGGAAAAGTATCCTCTGGGTGAGAATTAACAAAAATAAAACAATTAGTTGAGACGTTGATGTTTTTACAGCACAAGAAAAACAGGAGATTGTTGATATGAACATAATTTTAATACTAAAACAAAACTTACCTCAATGTGCTGTTAATTGCCCCCAGTTTGCTGGCTTGCTCACAGTCTTCAAATTCTTTGGTATTGTTGGCCACTTTCAAGTACTGAAAGGAAGTTCACCATAAACAAGTTTTAGTGAAAAATAATTCCCTTCCTCTTTCTTTATTTCTGGCTCAGCTGGCAGAACAGTCAGTCTCCCAATGACGAGATAACACTAACTATAGCTACATCCTATTATTGAAAGAAGTAAGAAACACAGATGAAAACGAGTCACAGATTTCTACCTAATTAGTAAGCAAAGACATGGAAAACAGTCAGCAAGCTGGCGAGGATGTGCACTGAGAAGCCCTCGGGGGAACGTGTCCGACCACACGGATCAGGAGCTGCAGGACAGCATGACCCTGGACCAGGAGTCCCTCCGCGGACACCCGTCCAGAGCAACAGTGACAAACAGAAACAAGAACGATGCACAGCCGAACCGGTTTGGCTCAGTGGATAGAGCATCAGCCTGCGGACTCAGGGGTCCCAGGTTCGATTCCGGTCAAGGGCATGTACCTTGGTTGCGGGCACATCCCCACTGGGGGGCGTGCAGGAGGCAGCTGATCGATCTCTCTCATCGATGTTTCTGGCTCTCTGTCCCTCTCCCTTCTTCTCTGTAAAAAATCAATAAAATATATTAAAAAAAAAAAAAAAGAACGATGCACAGCCACTTTCCAAGTTATCTGCACCATCTTGGGTGCTGAGATAGCAACCCCAGGGCCGCAGTCTTATTTCTACTACAGACCCAGGGAAACCTACGTGGTACACAATGAGACAGAAGACAGAGATGCGAGGGCATCGCTGTGTGTAACAGCAAAAAACAAAGACAGTTGAAATGACCATCAATACAGAACATGAGACAGTCATACAACTGAATATCATGCAGCTGTTAAAAGTGAACTAAGATGACATATCAATGGAGACAACATTTAAAAAAGCATAATGCTCAGTAAAAACACAGACTGAAGCCCTAGCCGGTTTGGCTCAGTGGATAAAGCCTTGGCCCGAGGACTGATGGATCGCTGGGTTCAATTCCGGTCAAGGGCACGTACCTTGGCTACCTGGCCCTGGTTGGGGCACGTGCAGGAGGCAACAAATCAATGTGTCTCCCTCACATCGATGTTTCTCTCTGTCTCTGTCTCTCCCTTCCACTCTCTCTAAAAATCAATGGGAAAATATCCTTGGGTGAGGATTCACAAAACACACACACACACACAAACAAATAGACTGAAACAATGTATTAACCTGAAGAAATATAAAAATATAGTATTTAAATCTTTTAAGATGTCATAAAAAAGCTCTATACATGCTGTGGACACATGTACAATAAAGTATGAAAATAAAAAGTATCACAGAAGGATACGCATCAACTTCAGAAAAGTGTTCAGCTCTGGGGAGGGAGGACCCGGAATGGGGGTGGGAAGGAGTCCAGAAGGACTGTCTTTATACTGTTTGTTTGTTTACTTGAAATCTGAAACAAAAATAATAAATAAAAGAGTGTGAACGTGAACAAAAGACCTGGTGAGGGAGAGAGCCGGAAGAAAGTGGAGAAATGACGCATCACAAGGAAGCAGAGGGGAGGGCCTGAGGACCTTCACGTGTCCGTGCCATCATGGAAAACGACAGGTGTACTGTGTCTAGACACACGTGAGTGACACAGTAAATCAGGCATGCTCAGAAGAGGAAAGGGTGATCTTTAATAAAGAGGCATTTTAATAAAGAAGCATCCATTCCCTGCCCAGCCAGCATGGCACAGTGGTTGACTGTCGACCTATGAACCGGGAGGTCATGGTTTGATTCCTGGTCAGGGCACATGCCCAGGTTGTGGGCTCCATCCCCAGTGTGGGACGTGCAGAAGGCAGCCGATCCATGAGTCTCTCTCATCATTGATGTTTCTCTCTCTCTCTCTCCCTCTCCCTTCCTCTCTGAAATCAATATACATCGTGCGCTCTTCTGCACCCCGCCAGCAGTAAGCATGTCGCCCCATGTAAAGAAGAAATAGGCAGCGAAGAAGACGACTCACCTTGTTCGAAATCCCAGCTTTAATTCCGACGGGAATTTTACTCTTAAAAGAACAACAACAAAAATTTTAAAATTTCATTTTTTTGAGATTTCTTCACAAACTAGTAATGCTATTGATCTACTAGAAGGGCTATTTTATTCCATAGGAGAAAATGCACTGTCATTCAAATGCTGTAACTATACTACCTCTTTGAGGTGAAAGGTGAGGAGTTACACCAATGTAGACTCTAAGTCATAGGATAGAAAACTGAAGGACACACACAAAATCCAAGCAGCAAAACAACTCTAACGTACACTCTCAACGCAGTATTTAATAGTTTGTACAATTTTTAGGTTTATAAAATGACTAGATCTCTTTTTCCATAAACAGTCTTACCCCCAAAATAGAAGTTTTAAAAATTTCAAAATTTCTGAAATAGTTATGCTCAATTTTTATTTCTGCTCTAAATGGACACTTACAGTTTAGGCAATTTTGGGTTAATGTAGATGGCAAGAGTAAGTTCTCTGGCCCATATTTTACCTAGAGTTTACCAATAGAAGAACTGCATGTAGGTTCAGCTTTTTTCTTGAAAAGTCAATAATACTAACTTCCTAATTTGGCTAATTATGTTGTGGTTAGATAAGAGAATAATCTTGTTTTTAAGAAAATACATACTGAAATATTTAGGGATAAAAGATCATGTTTGTAACTTATACCTAAGTGGTTCAGAATATAATGATATTAATAAATATACACAAAGAGAGAATAATAAAGCAAATGTGCTAAACATGAACATTTAGGGACTCTGAATAAGAAGTATATGGAAAGTGTACTATTGCAACTTTTCCCTAGGTCTGAAATTATTCCAAACTAAAAACTTTAAAAATACACTATATTCTTAAAGGAAAATGAAGATAATATATTTTTTAAATGTTTCCCATTAGGAAGGACATCTGTTCGGATAGTTTTGTCATACTTTTAAGGACAAGAAACTACACTAACTGGTTAGGTAAGAAAAGCAAAAAGTCAAATGAAAATATGGCTCATAACAAATTACTAATGAAAAAGAATATAGCCAATTATGCTAGATGTCAGAAAACAAAATCTAAAATGTAACATTTCATTAGAAATAAGGGTAACCTTTTTTTTCTATTGTAAGAAGACCAGTTGGAGACCTAATGCCAAGCCTGAAATTTCCCTATTTTATGCGCTTTAATTCCCACTCTAAACTTGAGATTTAAGGTCCAGTAGCATTTTCTTTGCGGATTCAAGAGAGCATGGAGTGGGTCAGCCAGGTGTCGGCCCCGTCCCCGCAGCCGCTGGCTCTGCGTGATTTACCTCTGGACACGGCTCCACGTGGCAGTCCTTTATGGAGCAATGGCCGTCTTCCGCCCAGAACGGGCACGGCCGCTTCAGGTTGACCTGGAGAGAAAGAACGTGTCCCCGTGAGCACACTCGGGTCCCGGCTCTGCAGGGCTGTCCTCGAGGTCCCCGTGCTGGGGCGGAGGTCAGGGTGAGGGAGGAGCCTCCTGTCCCAAGGCACCTGCGTGGCTCAGAACTTAAATGCCTGCCGTGCTCCAGACTCCCAGATGTAATGTTCATTTTTAAAAGTAAACGATGCTCGCCTACCCGGTGTGGCTCAGCGGATAGTGAAAGATGAAGAATTCTCCAAGCAGAGGGAGAGGGTGCAGATGCTTAGAGTTTAAAAAGGTGAACAGGTTTCAGCCCTGGCCAGGGCGGCTCAACGGGCATCGTCCCCTGCACCGAAAGGTGGCCAGTTTGATTCCAGGTCAGAGCACATGCTCAGGTTGAGACTCGATCCCCGCTTGGGGGTGTGCAGGAGGCAGCCGACGGATGCTTCTCTGTCCCCCCCACCCTCTTTAAAAATCTAAAAAAAAAAAAAAAAGGCTAACAGGTCTTCAGTGTAATACTTAATACATTCCAGTGATAAAAGATACACATAGGATGCTGAGGAGAGTCAAACCTGAGTCTTTAAATGGGCGATAAGAGTCACACCTGTAGACAGTGATATGAAAACCTTTGGAAATAACAGAATGAAAAATTATACCCATACCTTGTAATAACGGAAGTAGTCTCGCTCTTGCAACTTTTTTATTTTGGGGAAGATTTTGTAGGTGTTAAAGTTATCGATGCTCTCAATATCACACAAGCAATCATCCAGGACTCCAATGACCTAGAAAAATATATATATATATATACACATCTATAAAATTCAAAATATGTAAATGATGTTTGAACCTTAACAAACCTGTGCTAGTAACATAAAAAGATAATCTGTACATTCAAATTAGCCAGTATTTGCTCATTAAGATACATAACAGCCCTGACCGGTTTGGCTCAGTGGATGGAGCGTCGGCCTGTGGACTGAAGGGTCCCAGGTTCGATTCTGGTCAAGGGCATGTACCTTGGTTGCGGGCACATCCCCAGTAGGGAGTGTGCAGGAGGCAGCTGATCGATGTTTCTCTCTCACTGATGTTTCTAACTCTCTATCCCTCTCCTTTCCTCTCTGTAAAAAATCAATAAAAATATACTTTAAAAAAAAGATACATAACAAAGTAGCCCCTTTTTACTATGGTCAGTTCATTAAAAAACAACGGAAGGATTAGATATACCCATTCTGAAGAGCTACACATTTTTATTTAGCGGTAAAAAAGAAAGACATTGTGTGCTCTTTCCAGACCTAAACATAGATTTAACCCAGTGTTTCCTAACACTAACTGGGCCCAGTTCTGCTCTGGTATTACCTGGAGCTGGAGCAGAGCCCGCAGGTTAAGGGCTCAGCCGCACAGGGCTCCCCTGGCCACACAGGCCAGCCCCAGACCCCGGGCCCCTGCACTTGAGGACTACTCGCCGGGGTTTCCCAGGACCCCTTCTCAGGTGGGGTAATTGGCTAGAACGGCCGGCAGAACTCAGGAAAACACTCCACTCATGTTTACTGGGTTCTCGTAACGGCGACAGCTCAGGAACAGCCAGATGGGAGAGGTTCGCAGGGCAGGGCACTGGGAGGGGCGAGGCAGACCTTCCTCGTCTCCGAGCCACCCGAGGGACCACCTCGTCTCTGTTCTCGCCCACCTGGGAGCCCACCGCGCACCCTGTAGCTTTCAGAGCTTCTCTGGAGCTTCTCTGGAGCCCCTCCTGGGGGGCCAGGCCACCCTGCGCCCACCTAGGGGCTCCCCACCTAAGTCGCAACATCGGTGTTAACGGGCCGAAAGGCACTCGCATACTCAGGAGGTCCCCAGGATGTCAGAAGCCGAGCCAGGACAGGTAGGTGACAGGGACCTGATACACAGCTGCTTACACCCGAGCGAGGCAGGAAGGCCCTGGGGGGCTCACGGAGTGAGAGGGACTTGAAGTCCACAGCCAGGTGGAGGGTGTGGCTTGCATTTTGTATCATCAGAGAAGGTAGCCGTTGAGTAAGGGGACAAGTCTGACAAGGTGACACCTTAGCAGAAACCTAAGGGAGCAAGGGAACCACAGGAAGACCCCAGGAGAGGGTGTGCGGCATCGAGGCTCGAGGCAAGAACACACTTGCCACGTCTGAGGAACAGCGGGGAGGTGAGGTGGCTGCAGCAGGCATAGCGGGGAGCAGACTGGGACGAGGGGGGTTCGAGGGGCAAGATCGGGAAGCTGGTTCCTGGTGCACCGAGTTTGAGATGCCTCAGCGGCATCCATCCGAGTGGAGACAGTGAAACGTGGCTGGATATTCGGGCCTGGAGCGGAGACTCCTGGTCTGGAGGCTCTGAGAGTGGATTATGTAGGTG